AGCCCGGTTGGGCCCTGACCCACCTCCTCGGGATGGTGCTCCCGATCTTGACGATCGTCCTTCAAAGTCTGCCCGAACTTCACCGCCCGGTGAACCTTCTGCTTCATCTGCACTGCCTCCTGTGGCGTTGGCACATGTGCCACCCACATCTTCAGATACAGCGTCTGCAGCCGCCCCAGAGGGCGATGATGAGGACATGGCAGGAAACCCAGATGCCAAGCGTGCCAGGGTTGCCAAGGTCACAGGTGTTGATGTTTGCGTTTGGGATGAAACTTTGACTTGCTACCATAGCGATGAATACCTCGCTGACTGTGCAGGTGACGTGTCGTTGTCAGACCAAGATGATGATTTCAGTGACGATGAGTTTAGCAGTGATGATGAAGGCCAGCTGCCTCCCGAGTGCACTCCTCCGCTTGAGTTGTTCTTTCCGTTCAGCACCAGCGATCCACGGCTGACTGAGGATGAAATGGCAAGGCTGACTCATGTTGCTGATCAACATGAGATTTCCCGCCTCGAGCGTATGACAGTGTTGCAGCCACCCCTTGAAGGAGTCGAGTGTAGCAAGCTGTCAACTCGGTTTGTGCGAAGCTTCCGCCCAAAGCTTCATCCTGTTACTAAAGCTCCTTCGCTGCTGTTTCGGTCACGACTTGTAGCTCGAGAGTACAAGAGATGCGATCCCTTTCGGGAGGACCTGTATTCACCAGCCTCTCAAGCCATTCTGAATCGAGTGCTTCCGGCTCTGAGGCAATCGTATGGTGCTGATGGCGCCATCTTGCTATCTGCTGACATTGCGGACGCCTACTTACTTGACCGTCCCGCAGGACAAGCCAACCATAGTTACGTTAGGCTATGGGGTGTCGTATGCTTTGGGTTACACGTTGCCGGGGCAACGTGCGGGTTCGATTGGGTGGTTCACTGCCTTCACGACTTTTCTGGTTGATTACGCCGGTGCCGAGTTGTGGCGGGGCTGTGAGGCCCTTTATCGCTTGAAGCCCCGTGATGGTGAGCACGACCCAGTGCCCAATGCGGGCATGTTGCTTGTAGATGACACCTTGGCATCAGGTTCTCGGAACCGGCTTGAAAGTGTTCTTGATGTGATCAAATCAAAATACAAAGTGTCAGCAGAGATGATGATCCAGGAAGGCGATGAGATCTCTTTCTTGAAAAGGAAGCATGTGCTTTCGAGCGATGGTGTGCTGATTATTCGCCGTTCCACCAAACGTTTGAACAAGCTTCTTGACATGTTGGGACTTCAGAATGCTGCCATCAAGCGGACCCCACTTCCTTCATGGAGCAACGAGGACCTTCGTGATGACGGCGAGTGTTTGTCATCAGCAGATCAAGCTACCTTCCGCAGTGCTGTAGGTGTGCTTATGTATATGGGTCAAGATTGCGGCGACTTGCAATTCGCCATTCGACTGCTGTGCCAACACATGTCATCCCCGAGCAAGCGAGCGTTCGATTTGCTGCGCCATGTTGCGCGGTACGCCAAGGGCACTGCAGGCTATGCGCCGTCGATGTCCCCCACGTCTCCTGGTGTTGGCATTCGTGCCCGAGCTGCGAATGAAGGGTCTTCACTTGTTGAGATTATGTCTGACTCCGACTGGGGTGCTTCGAAAGCAAACCGCCGATCCGTGAGCGGATGCGTGTGCTTGATCGATTCCAATGTGGTTGCGAGCTCAAGCCGCACCCAGAAGTCGATCAGCTTATCGTCATGTGAAGCTGAACTTTTAGCTCTGACGGCTGCCTGTGCTGAAGGGATCTTTCTTCGTGAAGCCGTGTCGTTTTGCACCCAGCGTCCTGCCGAATTGATAGTGTACACTGACAGTGCTTCTGCTCGCCAGTTCCTTGCCAGGCAAGGACTAGGGCGGTTGCGTCATCTTGATTTGCGGCTGCTGTGGTTGCAAGACCTTCTGCGCTCTCACCAACTGCGCTTGAGTGCTGTGCCAGGGCCCGAGAACTTAGCAGATTTGCAGACGAAAGCTTTGAATCCTGATCGTATTCGGTACTTGCTTCATGGGTTCAAGATTCGTGACGGAGCCAACTCAGATGAGCTTGTTGGTGTTGCCGAAGCCACGGCAAATGAGGATCGCGTTGCAATCAGTGCTGCTGTGCGAGCGGTTCGCTCGTACCGAGGTCCCGCTTCCAAGCTGAGCCTCTTGCTTCAGGCGTTGACAATCGTTGATTCCTTTACGGCATGCGCGGCACAAGGCCGGGAAGCACCTTGAGCGGTTACGGCCTCCTCGGCTTTGCAGTTTTCGCAATCTTTTGCATGATCATGTGGATTGTTTTGCGATTTTGCCGTGCACATGTGCCTGGTGATGAGATGCAGCCTGAGCTTGAGCCAGATGTGTCATACCCTGGCGGGGATAGCAGCAGCGAGTCCTCTGATGTTCATGATGCCACCGCTGCCGGATCCAATGATGTGCCCGTGACGGCGATTGTGCCGGTGCCAAAGCAGGCTCCTGCCCTGCCTCCAGCGACGGTCACCGTGCGCCATGATCCGAATGATTTGTTTGTGTACTACACGCGGTATGGTGAGTGCATGCATTGCTTGCGGGATTGTCGTGGACTTCGCAGTGCCCGCCGAATCTTCGGAGATCCGCTTCTTGTTGTGCTTCGCGTACGGCCTGGACTGAGGCCTTGCATGTTCTGTGGAGGGCCGATCTACACTGTGCTTGAGCGCTTGCGTGCGCCTCCTCGTGTGGCAGTGCTTGAGCTCCCACTTGGTGAGCCTGAACCTGATGGTCAGAGTGATGTCTCCGATCACTGAGTCAACAACATTCTTGATGTGTAATGCTCATGATGACTTGCACTCTTGAAATATGCGCCACGATGTTGCAATGCCCGCACGACTTGCACAACGAACAGATACCTGTCAGCACTCTTGTTTCATGCCAGTAGCGCTTGCAATGCTTGGGTCACTTGACTTAATCCCTTAGAACTGGTCCTGAGCCAGTGGTTTTCTTGTGGCTAGTATAGGGCCGACCAAATGCTTGAGACATGAGCGCTTGAGTACTTGAGATCAGCCGCGTGCCACTTGAAATGACGACGACTGCTTGAACGATACTTGTGTGCAGCGAGCCCGCTCCACAAGTCAGGCAGGTCCGTAGAGATCAGAGGTTCTTTCTTTTTCGCTCCTCCAAGTCAAATGACTTGTTGAGTCGCGGCCTGGACTGGGTACGTCCCGCATGCCCTGGACGAAGACCGAGTGCGTTTCTCTGCGAGTGCACTTTTGAGTCAGCTGCTGTGAGGCGACACATGTATAGATTTTGTTTTGCATCCCGAATCCCAAACATGCGTGTAGGCAAACTTGTTGCCGTGCAGTTTGGAAGGCCTTGAAGGCAATCACAAAGGAAAGCATGCCTCTCTTTTCCGAGGATGCTTTGGCGGGGTGTTTGTGATTTACGTGCCCACTGGGTACCACTTGTTTTGGGTGGGATTGAGATGATTTTATTTTTCCCATTTTTATTTTCCGTTTTGCATGCTTCCACATTTGCATGTGAAGTAGTTTGTATGTCGCCTTGCATGTTATGCTGATTCCGTGCATTCGTAGGTGTTTGAAGAATCAAGGAAAACATTCACTTCCGCTTACAGCGATCGAAGACCTCCTGCGCACGGGAGCTCCAGTTCCGGATGGTTTTCCCATCCCTGGCTGCCAAAAGTAAAACTTCTGACACATGCTCACCAAGCTCATCCGTCCTGTCTTTCTGCGGCCATCGCTTGTCCAACAGGTCCAGCAGGACTCGGTCACCGCCGTCCTTCTGATACTCTTCCGCCTTCAAGTGCTCGACAACCTCCAAGGCTCGGCCCTGCAGAAGAGTAAAGATAAAGGCTCCTCGAGCCTCCTTCGGCAGCTTGTCCATTGTCAGGATCTTACTCTGGACCCATTGCTTCCAGCGGTGATCACCATCGTCACCACTGAAGTAACGCATCGATGAGCCGTCTTCCATGGCAGCAACGGTTGTCGTCCCCGAACGACAAATCTTGGAGCCCGTAGGCTCCGCTACCAATTATGGTAGCCCGAACTACACTTCTCCTGAAGTGTCTTTTGCCTCGAGGCCATGTGCCTGCAAGTATGTGACATGTCGGCCTTCACCTGACATGTTGACACGAACAAACGTGAACCCATAAAGTAGGTAAAGGTAAAAAAAGTAAAACAGAGGTATCACAAAGCTAGAACCAGCCGAGGCAAAAAGGTAACGAAAAGGTATAACGAAAAGGTACATACAAAACGTGGAAGAAAGCTGAAGACGACACGTGACTTGTGCACTCCCCGGTCCGCCCGCCCGCCATGCCCGCCGGGGCAGGCTGGCGGGCTGGCGGGCAGGCTCCCCTTCCGCGACCAGGTGCAAGGCCTTTCACAAGTTATGAGCGCCAAGTTTGGGCAACACTGCGTCTGTGGTGCTGGCCCACGTAAGGGTGCGTCCGGGTTGTTGGGAACTGGAGAGGTTGCATGGACCAAAGCAACAACGTGCTGCGGTGGTGGCCTGGGGAAGCTCAGTCCATGGGTGGTGCTGCAGTGGCAGCTTGCATGTTGACAGGGAGCGCCGAACGGAGAGGTTGGGTGGCACATATCTTTCAGCCGCTGTTGGTGGAGGCTTTGGCTGTGCCAACAAGGGGTGTGCGGAAGGTGCACACACGTCATGTCAGCAGAGGTGTCCGAAGTGATGGGTATCCTCAGTCGCATGGGTGGGGAAACAGGTGAAAAAAGGTAAAAGAAACTGCAGAGAAAGGTGAGGGCCAGACGCTGGCCAGGTGATCCGGGATATTCCCCAACCACCGGTCCTTTGTTGGTTTGTTCTATTTTTACATTGTACATGTCGCATCTCAAGGCCGCAACATAGATGAATTGCACGAGCTGCTTTTCGCTATTTGCTATGCCCTGCTTCCCCGATAGAATCTTGCCCGGTAGCGCAGCGGTAGTGTTTGCTTGTATGGCTTTCGCTGAGCTCTTGCTGTGTCAAGTCGTGTCATTCTGTCGGTGCACTGCCGCTTAGGCCGACACCTTCTTGACGGATTGGGTGCTCAGACAAATGGCACTTCCACTGCTCTACTGGGGCTCTTGCGGACCATGGCATCTCCAATGAGGTGGGGCCAGATGAGGAATTTGGATGAGAAGGTATAAATTGGGGTCTCGGTCTAATGACCTGGCCACGAAGATGAAGAATGGAGCTTGTGGTGTAACACGCTCTTTGTTTGGAGTCTTGAACTGGGGTCTGAGTGGGAACCACCGCATCCTGCAGAGGCCACCTTGCTATTTTCTGTCGTGTGAGGTTTGGTCCTGAGTTTGCAGAGAGGCCACGATGAGATCTGGTTGTCGCATGATCCAGCAACATGCAAAACTGAGTCCTGAGGCCTTTGCTGCCAAGCAGGTGGCTTGGCAACTCGCTATGCCTGAGCCGCAGGCGAGAGTTCGGTTTCAAGACATCGTGTGTACGTTCACTGATCCATGTCGAGGTCCAGAAGCGCTTGGCGCTCTATGTGGAGCAGTACAAGTGGGAAGGGCTGCAAGGGAGGCTTCTGGGGGCGAGCGACACACTGCTTGGGCACAAGGGTACAGCTTTAGTGCTGCAGGAGATGCATGATTTGCGGTCAGCTTATAGTCGTGGCACATGCCCTTCAGGTCGTATCCATGTGTTACAGCTGCAGTACAGCTGCTCAAGTTTTTGCTGAGATGACATGACATGTTGAATCACCTTAAGATCTCGACTGGCTTTGTCGAGCCAGACTTGAGATGGCTTCTCTATTGTGGCAATCTGCGACCTGGGCAAACAGATTCTTGTGGACACAGCGTCACAGCGTCAGTCTGCAACTTCGTCAAATCAACAACGTGAGCTTGGGATACTCGTGGGCTTTGGGGGGAGGACGTGGCCTTTCGATAGTTTCTTGAGCTATCCCACGCCGGAACCCGTTGCCACGGCGGGTCGTTTTTGGCGGAGATTTCGAGTCTTGCAATGGCCTCTTTTGGTCGTTTCTGATACTGCTGATGGTGGCTGAGGGCTTCTTTTGATTCCTTCTCTTGAAGCTGATGTTGGCTGTCACAGGGTTTCCAGATTCTTCGCATGTTGGGCAGCATTGACATGAGGATTCTTCTGAGTCCAGTTCCTTTCATGGGCATGTGTGCGCTGCATTGTCTAGGATACTTTGGACTCGGCAGCAACATTGAACTTCATTTGAACAGTGGATTGTCTAGGGGCACCGCGTCTCGAGTGGCTTTTTATTGGGAACGTCACGAAGGGCAAAGAATCCACTATACTGTCCATTACTGTCCTTTACAGCAGTCACGTGAGACCTGCTTCTTATGCGGAAAACGCAGTTTTGCCGCGTTCTCGACATTGATGTATCTCATTGCATGTCGTCTGTCTCTCCCAGTGCTGTGTCACCAGCCCTGTTTGCTATGGAGCTTTCGTCTCAGCCCGTGGTTCTCGCGTTTCAATGCAAGCGCCCTTGCTGAGATAACGGACAAGTCACAGACACGTCAGGCAAATCATGCCGGTGTGCTTGACGAAGCATTCACTTCCCAAACCATCTGAATCCGCGGCTTTCTGCCAAAGCATGGTGATGAGCATGCGTGCAGGCCGACAGATGTGCGGCTGCCTCAGGACGTGACAGTGAAGAAGGGAAGACATGGCAGCTGCGATCGGCTGCCTTGCAAGGTTGGTCTTACGGTCCATGTTGTGGTCACGAGTGCCTGGAATGTACTTCCGCGCTGTTCTACAGGCGACGATTTTAAACTGTTAGAGTTTGTGACGGTGCACAGTTTGTATGCAAACGGCAACTTCAGTGCCAAGTGTGATTGAACTAGGGCTGTTACAAGCAACGGGGCCGTACTGAATTTGTCTCAGTTGGTTTGAAGGCTTTCCTTCGAGAGTCCCAGCCTCGGTTTCCTTCTCCGTGACACCTTTTGAAAAACCGGTCTCTCTTTTGAGGAATTCGAAAGTCGTCGCCCTGAACTTTCGTTTTGCGAACGATGTCGGCTTCGTGCCCTACTCCGCATCTTGGCGGCACAATCCGTGGTAGCGAAGCCGATAAGGCTACCAAATTTGTCAGAACAAGGACATTGCTCTTCACCGTTGTGGTGTGCTAGTCCCCAACGACTTAACGATGGCTGCATTCTCAGAGGCTCGGTCGAACAACTTCTGTTCGAAGGACCTGATCTGGCAGCAACAATGCCCCAGCCAGGCCTTTGCAATGGGCCTTCCTCTCTTTCTTCCTTCGGACGAGTGGCTGTACAGGACTGATTCTATTTTCGGTCAGATAAAGGCACGCATTTTGCTTCAAGGCTGCAGAAATCGGTGCCATATGGCTTTATGGTCCATGGAACTTCTTCATTGTTCGGTGCATCTGAGCACGATGGGTTGCAAAGTTGGTCGCTTAGCTTGCGGAATCGGGGGCAAAAATGGGAGAACGATCTCTTCGCCGGTCTTTGGCGTAGCTGAGGCAGTTCGCTGCCGCCGGCTTGGCACGAAAAGTCACAATCCGTATTGGCGGTAATGAGCTGGCTCAGGCTCGGGAGTCTTGAACGTGGCCAGCACAGCGCCATCGAAAGCTGTCAGGTTGTCGGACTTTTCTACATGGCCCTCAACGCTCCGCTTCAGCTCCATACCAGATCTTCTTGAAGGCCAGCGCAGCGGCCCTTGAAGGAGTCAGAGAATCAGCTGCCTCGCTGGTGTGCAGGCCTGGTGACGACAGATTTCCCATCTGTCAGTCACAGGATGCTTCGGTGGACCTCCGCAAAGAAGGATGAGGTGACTCGGTGCGAGCTTGGCCCAGGGCAATGTAACAACCCACGTAAAATCCAAATTCTTGCAGCGGTCCTCTGTCTGCAAAACCTAGCTTGTCTTGGTCTCGAGCCTCGACCGATCCTGACGCGTGAATTAAGTATCGGAGTTTGTAGAGATCCAAAAGAGGCAAACGAAGGAGGCAAAGGTTTTGAAAACGACCGAATTGACAGCGAAGCTCCGCTCCTTAGCTCCCCAGACCTTGCGTCGATGGGCCGGGCTGCTGAGAGGCTCGGAGCCGTTGTGTGGGGTGAGAAGCCGAAGCAGTCACTTCTAACGAAGAGGCATGCAGGATGGCTCTGCTTGGTCGGACTCCGAGCCAAGGTTCGGTTTTTTCCATGGACAACAAGGGCAAAAATTTTGGTGGATCAGAGCAGCTTTCAGGATCCAGCGCGGGGCAATGCAACCCGAGGAGGTGATGGATTCCAGCAGGTGGTGTTTGGCTTTTAGTGCTCGGTCCTGCTCTGCCGGTGCGTGGCTCAGGGACGATATGCTCTACGCAGCATTGGCGTGCGAGCATGTCGTCGCCTCTATCTGTCAGGAATGTCTTGATTACAAACTACAAATCTGAGCCTTCTCTCCAAGGAGACATTTGACAAGTTCGGCTGGCCAAGTTTCCGAGCACTTCTCGAGAGTGATGCAGCCCAGAGCTTGAATCTAGAACTTAGATGTGACATCATCGAACAGCTTGATTCGACGTGCACAGGTGACAGGTTTTGCAACGAAGAAAAGCGCTGTCTTCACTGAGCTTGCCATTTCTACGTTGCAAAAAGTGCGAACCTTGGTCAGACTCGGCCGCTGTCCAGAGTTCATTAGAGCCATGATAAGCCATGACAGGCCGTGGAGGACAACAATCCGGGCTCTTTACACGCGAGAGCCTTATGACCGGCAGATAGGAACGGCGATCTACAAACCAGAACATGACCAACTCGCTGATTCCATTAGTTTCCATGCCAGGCTTGGAAGTCAAGGGGTTATCTTTCGGGTTCATCAAGAGCAGGTTCAAACACGTCTGTTCATTCGTCGGACGGTGCGGCATTTCCGTAGGACTCCGATGGTGAAAGACCTCAGACAAGACCAGTTGAAAACTCCCACCCCAACGCCGGAAACCCCACCAAGCGGCGAGTAGAACGACTTCACAAGAAAGAGCCCCAACAGGCCGAAAATCCGGACACACGTGCTAGCTGGGATTCGAAGACTTCGAGCTGCAGCTGTCAGATTCGGATACGTACAGGGTAAATAATCGGTTGAGGTTGCTGAGGCCGTGGGCGCCCGTTCTGGGCACACCCGGCGGCTCCACATGCATGTTGTTGACATGCGCCGGCCGCGTTCGTCGGAGACACCGAAAAGTATGAAATTGCAGAGAGGCAGTGGGCACGATTACCATCCCGTTGAAACTCTTCCTGGCGAACCTCTCCAGTGGCAAGGAGCGATTCGAGATGTGGGGAGCCAGAAATTGCCTTGCGCTGTATGATGGCATCAGGCTGACATTCGAGGCAAGCTGCTTTTTTTGCTAAGGCCAGCTTGTTTATGCAAAACGCTATCAACGCTGCAGGCTTGAAAGGACATTGTCATTTGGGCATGGCCTTTTGCCCAGACAGATTTAAAGACGTGTATGTTCAAACCACATGATGATTGAGTCGTCGACGGACCATGAGGCATCTGCACTGCTGTTGCAGGCTCGTTCTTTTTGCAGGGCACACACGCTGGCTTAGACACGGATCAAGAACAATTGGGCCACTCTCCTGCCCCAGATGTCCCAGTGCATGTTGTCACCTGTCAGCCAGCTTTTCTGAGGGTTGTTGAAAGGCACATCAGGAGCTGCTGAACAATGACGTGGCCGCCAAGGTCATGAGGTTCTAAAGTAAAAGATCTCGACGGATTGCCATCAAGAGCTCACAGCTTTCAGGTAGCCTGGCTGGTGGGTCTTGCAAATCAGTTGCTGGCCCCCCTCGCAGAGGTCGCGAGAGTTGTGAAAGTCGCCATGTGGAGAGACGCGAAGTTCAGCTGTTTGGAGGCTAACGTGAGCTTTCCAGTTGGAGTTTGGCCGGTGGAGGCTTCCGTCGTGGCACGTCGTAGCCTTGCAAGTCCATGCGACATACATGCTGTCTCCTCTCCCAAGGAGCTGAGTGCAAGGGTCAGCGGGCTGATGGAGCATGCCAACCAACAAAATTCTTTGGCTTCCAGTAGCGCAGACACCTGGCAAGTTTGCAAGCGGCCTGGCCTTTCAGTACCTATTCGGATCGGTGCTGCCTGCTTGTCTGCTGCTCAAGCTCGGAAGGTATGTGACTGAACGGTGATGCAATACAAGCTTGCCACAACCCAAACATGTGCAGACAAGCTGTAGACTGTAGAGGTCCACAAGTTTTTGACGGGGTCACAGTAGCATTCTGTAGCATGATCGAGGCTTGTGCTTGCAATGGGCGGCTAGCATCTCAGTTCCTGCCTGTTAAACGATGGATGTGGATTTGCTTCTCTGTCAGGCCAGAGGTGGGAAGTTGTGGGTGGTGGTGACAAGGGCGGCATCGTTGTTCGTGCAGCGGTCTCAAATGAGGGTCTTGTAAGGTGACATCAGCGTGCGCTGGGACACCCTGGAAGGGCATCGTGTTGCCCATGCATTTGCGAAAAGCCTCCGGATTGAGGGCTACCATCGACGTCCTAGTTCGATATCATAGAGTCTTAGACGACTTCGGAGGGACTACTGAGGCATTTGTGACGGCATCAAGAGCTCGATTCGTGCTTGAGTTTCTGCGGGGTAAGAATCTGGATTGGAAGTCCCAAACGTCCCTTTGCACACTGGCTGAAAGCAGACATGTGGCCAATCTTTGTTGATTTTGCTGGAGGCAAAAATCGATCTGCTCGTTTCCCTCGAATGTCAGATGGTCGAATAACTTTTGCAAGCCGAAGTTTTAATAACATAAAACATTCGAAGGCTTCTCAATTTCTTAATTTGAGTTTGGCTGTCTTGAGAGGCTGTTAGGCCTTAGCCTGCCACCTGCTGTACTGTTTTCTGAGATGTTTTTTTTGACCTGAGACGTGCAATGACGTGCAGTTTCAAGTTTGGGATGCCAGGCTCCGTTGTTGGGAGCCTTGTTCTGGCGCGCAGTTCTGAGTCCCAAGGCCGGTCGGCATTTGGGCTCTGCCGAGCATCCTTCCAAGCTTGAGAAGAACTCGCTCGTGGAGGACCGGACCCGCTCAAGTCTGCTAGCACCGCCAGCCGCCAGCAGGTCACTTTCGGTAGGGAACTTCGGGCTTGGAGCCTCTCATCAGAGGAGTTGGCGCGGACTGGCGATCGTCTGAAGTACAGATTGGTGAGGGGCAAAGGACCCGAGGAGACACATGCAGAAGATACAAGCCCATCGAAGACAGTGGAACCAATTCCTCGATGCAAGGAGGGATGGGTGAGCGTGCGATTGAAGGAGAAGGAACGGCAAGCTTGGTAGATTGACAGTATTGTCGAAGAGACAGTCTACCAATGCCTGTCATCATTAAGCATGCAGGTGTTATTGGAACCCGTTGATGAGGTACACTTGCCTCCTCACAGCTGTAATGTCCCATCAGATGCACAGCTTGAGGAGGTGGCCGAGACGGGCCCGTCTCGAGCCGTGGACCGCGTGCAGGCCTGGCATGCTGGGCTGGGGCTCGCCTGGGGGACTGTGCTATTCTGGGAGAGTTTTTCCCGAACCAACACCCCCATGCACATCATGTCATTCGGGATAGAAATTTCTGGGATGTCGTGTGACAATGGGATCGGCACACCTTTGCGCATCAATGATGCCATAGCCGGGCCTTAGCACGCCGTGTTGTAACGGCATGGTGCAGATAAATGCTTGGCAGCCTTCTACACTTGCTGTACTATAGCATTCAGTGGTTAGACCTCCAAGAGATTCGGAGGATCATTGAAAAGACACTTACTTGCAGTAGTAGCAGAGAAAACTAATAGTAGCAATTCTAACCCTGCGCAGCCCGCCTCGGCTGCTTCGGGCAGTGAAGCACTGTGCTGTCATTGTGCATGTGTGGAGGGGGGCTGGAGGAGGGAAGGGGCCGGAGGAGGAGAAGAGGAGAAAAGGCATTTGCTGCGCGTTCCGGGCCTGTTTCCAAAGCTGCTTGGCGGCAGGCACGGACGGTTTGGGCCTATGTGGGCAGTCACACGCGAGGACAAGGAAACCAGAAGCTGAATCAGACAAAGCAGAGGTCGGGGGAAAAGGAAGGAGGGAGGAGGGGGGGACAGGCGGAGGAGGAGGGCTAAGGAGCGGGGGGGATCGGAGCAGGGGAGGCCTTGAAGGGGTGAACGGGCGGGGAATGGGAAGAGGGCGAGAAGAGGCGAAGAGGAGGTCCTTGGCCTCTTTCCAATGCTCATTCACACTGATGCCGGCAGTCACGAACAGTTTGATGAATAGGCGTTCGTTTACGCTGATGTGCGCAGTCACACTGCGAGGACGAGGAAACAAGAAGAAGAATCAGGCAAAGCAAAGGGGGAGGCAGGGGCAAGGAGGGGAATAGGAGGGGGAAGAAAGGGGAGAAGAGGCGAAGAGGAGGGCAGGAGCCCAAAGGCCGGTGTGGGGGGTGGCAGACATGCACCAAAAACGGGTGTCGTTCAGCGTTCGGAGAGTCTTACCATCAAGACGCCCACGCCTTTGGCCTCGGCGGATGATAGTAGTAGAAGTAGTCGTCGTCGTTGTGGTCGTGGTCGTGGTCGTGGTAGTAGTAGTGGTAGTGGTAATGGCAATGGCAGTGGCAGTGGGAGTGGGAGTGGTAGTGGTAGTGGCAGTGGCAGTGGGAGTGTAGTAGTGGTAGAGTAGCAGTAGCAGTAGCAGTAGAAGTAGTGGTAGTAGTAGTAGTAGCAGCAGTAGTAGCAGTAGTTGTAGTGGTAGTCATACCAACAAGGGCTGGGTCTTGCGAACCTTTCTCGAGCCGGCGGCGAAGCGCTGGCCCATGCTTCGCACCGTCTTTCAGACTTACATGCGCGACGACCACCCGGGGCCACTTCAGATGTGGCAATGTCTGGCAGACTTTGAGCGGACCTTCTGCAATGACGAGGTCCTGCTACAGACCCGCAGTCTCCACGCTGGCGAAAGCGGAGAAAATCTCATCCGCAGCCTCCGCCCACGTATGTGTACCACTACCACTACGGTGGCCTCTACCTCGACATCAAGATTGCGCGCAGGATCCCCTTGTCGGAGCTCTTGGCTTGCATTGCCAAAGACTGCGACACTGTCCAAGTTGAACGCGGCAAACAGCTGGGGCACTGCCCGACGGCATCTGGCACGCTGCCCACGGAGTACATGATCATGGCCAATGACATCCAAAATGATCATATCTTCCATGGCATCATCTATGGCCAGCCGCGTCATCCCTTCATGCTCTGCGCCTTAAATGTTCAGCAAATCAATTTCGAGCAAAGTGACCAACCTCGAATACATGATCTTCTGCAAGGAACTGTGGTGTCTACTGATTGCGGACCGTGCCCAGGGCCTACCAGAGGCCCGCAAGACTGCTGCAGCAGCCCTAGGACGGCCCCGGGGGCACTGCCCAACCACACAGCTTGCTGTCCAGCTTGGATGAGGGGGACTTCGACAAAATCATGCTGGCTATTGAAACGGAACCTCAGTATCAGGGCCTCACTGCAGAAGCCGTGCTCCGGAAGATTTCTTTCAGGCCTTTGCACCCATCCTGATGATCCGGCTTGGCTGTCGGGTCGGTATTGCCACAGAAACGGGCGACGCCTTTCGCATTTCCAACGAGCTGGGAGTCGCTGAGCACTTTTTGCAGAGCCCATCGAGCCTGCCGAACCACCGCCGTGTCCAAGCAGTGGCTCCGAGGATGCTCCACCACGCTGCGCGCCCGGTTTGGTTTGGGTCTCCCACCCATTCCGGCACGCCTCAATGCACTTACCGAGAGGCACCGCCCGGTTCATCCAACAGTCACGACTGGATTCTCAGACTTTGTTAGGTCACAGGGTCAGTTTCACACCATAGTGAGTGCACACGCGGCAAAGTGCTGAGCCCGCTCGCACCGCGTCCAATTAAAATAGTAGTAGTAGTAGTAGTAGTAGTAGTAGTAGTAGTAGTAGTAGTAGTAGCCGCCACGGCTCAGACGTTTTGGAAGTTTCGCGCTGGCTTTCGAACAGGCTCTGGATTCCAACCTTGCGTTGCTAGAGGTCTCAAACGGGCCCCTCTCTGAACGACTAAGGGTTGGTTCCTCACGCTGAGCCATGTGCCATGTGCCAACAGTTTGCGTCTGAGCCGCCAGGTCCCAATTCCTGGACCCAGTACCCTGTCTTAACACGGGCCCACTGGGCAGGCGGTAGGGTTTCCACTAACCGCGTGGTGGAGGGAGTCACTCGGCTTGCCTTGTGACGAAATAGCGGATGGCGCTGCTCCCAGTGCACTCACAAAATTATTCTCAGATCAGGAAGAATTCGTTCAAGCATGTTTGCAGGAAGGTGGTTGCAAGCCAGCAACCCGTTTCTTACCGAGGTCAGGTCATGACCCCTGCTCTCCTCAGGCGCATGGGCAACTGCCCACCGCGGCCAGGTTCCACCCAGTCTTTTGCACCACGGTCTAGAGCAGGACAGGCCACCAGGCCCCTCCGTGTACTGTCTTGGAATGCAGGCCACCTTGGCCAGCAGCAATGGTCGGAAGTCAAATCATGGCTTTCCACTGAGGCACGCCACACCTGTGATGTTCTTGTGCTGCAGGAGACCCACTGGCAGGCTACGGCTGAATTTAGTGTTTCAGGCTGGTACTGCATCTCGTCTGCCTCTGCTGCAGATCCGAAAGCCTCCAGACGTAAACAACGCGGGGGCAAGGCCCACATACAGCCACCTGCAGAGGCAATGCCTAATGACGACAAGACCCATCCGCCCCGCAAGGAGCCCTCGACCACACGCGCGGACGGAGTAATGGTCTTTCTGTCCCCACACATACAACCTAAAGGTGTGAGATGGCAGGAACATGTCATAGGCAGAACCCTGGAGGTCAGGTTTGACTGGCACGGGGCCCGCATCCACCTGATTGCTGTATACCAACATGTTTGGTCACCGGCCAAACAGGTGCAGAACAATCGTCAGGACAGGGCACAGGTCCTCAAAGCTCTTGGCAGATGTGTACAAAGGGTGCCACACCGAGACACGCTTATCATCGCAGGTGATTTTAATAGCTCCTTGCAAAAGCAGCCTAGGCTGGTAGGTCCAGAGCTCATAAGCCCACAGGAACCGCGACCTGATGAACCAGAGCTCACCAACTTCCTGTTGAGTCACCGCTTGGTGGCCCTCAACACGTGGCGACCTCAGCCATCATTTACGTACCAACAGGGGGACACACGCACACAAATTGATTTTGTGCTTACGCGAGAGGTGTCAGCCGGAGGCACTGCCAAGGCCTCCACGCCACTGGCGGCTTTTCCGCTGGGCAGCTGGAAGAAAAGCGGGCACCTGCCCATCAGTGCGACTGTCAAGCCAGTACGTCACTGGAATCTGCCGCCTCCTCAGATACAGACACATCAGTTTGACGCTGCTGCCCTGCAAGCGGCTGTGAGGGACAACACGCTGCCAGCTCAGCAAATGCTGGAGTGGGTTACAACCCGTCTTACTCCGGACATGCAGCCGGCGTCATGGGATCGCCTTCTTGGCGAAGCCTCCTCCAGGTTTTTCCCTAAGACCCCGGTGGCAATGCCAGAAAGTCCGGAGACGTGCATTGCCAGAAGAATGTGGCGCTCTGCACGAGGGAGCAATGCTCACACCAGTGCTGCATCAGCTACAGACGCAGCTGCCCGTCAACTGCTATACGACCAGCACAAACTGGCGGTCAAGCAGTCTCGCAAAGATCAAACCAAGCGGTTCCTTGCCGAGGTGGACCAGGCTCTCAATCAGGGAGACCAACACCTAGCATACCAAACTCTCAAGCATCTTCGCCCGTGGAAACCGGCTCTGAAGGCTCAGCTCAAGGATTCGAACGGTTTCCTACTCAGCCCTGCAAACGAACTTGCAGAGTTGGGCAAGTACGCCACCAAGGTCTTTGCAGCGCACCCTCCGCTTCCTTCTGACGCGGGACTTCTGCCCCTACTGCCGCAGACCAAGTTGGCGAAACACATAGCTTCGATAAAACCTGGAAAGGCAGTTCCGAAAGGAGCAGCACCAGCCGCAGCCTGGAAGCTCTGCGCACAGCCGGTATCCGAGGCGCTCTCACATTACTGTTCTGCTCTGACACAGGACCAGCCACTAGACGATGATCTGACACGAGCGGATCTCTGCTTAATCCCCAAACCGGGCAAGCCGGCTGACAAGCCTTCCCAGCTAAGACCGCTGGGAATACTCCGGCCGGATGCTAAAGGCCTGGCGGGAACGGCTAAGGAACTCCTGGAACCTCTCACGCTGCCATACATGAAGCCTCTCCCTCAGTTTGCATACCTCCCGGGCCGGGGTCTCTCCGACGCTCAGAGTCGAGTGGTACAGCACCTGAGAGAGGCTCGGCAACTGTGTCGCACTGCGAACCTTACCAGAGCGGATCAGCAGCGGGGACAATGTCCTGTCGGTCTAGTGGGCGGCATTACCTTTGCACTAGACCTATCACAGGCATTCGACACTGTATCCCGCAGCGAAATCTTGTCTCTGCTTGAT